CACCGGACCCGAAACATTAACTCTGTTTTCTCTTTCACAGATGCTGCCAGACCTGCTGAGCTTCTCCAGCAACTTTGTTTTGTTCCAGATTTACAGCGTCTGCAGTTCTTTCGGTTGATACCATGAAAATATTGTCAATTGTTTGAAAAAACCCATCTAGTTCATGAATGACCTTTAGTGAACGAAATGGCCATCCTTACCTGGTCTGGACTACATGTGACTCCAGATTCACAGCAACGCGGTTGATTCTAAACTTCCCTCTGGATTGGGTAATAAATGCTAGTCTAGACAGCAATGCCCTCTTCCCATGAATAAATTAAAAATAAACAAAGGAGGAAACTACAGGCCAGTTAGTGTAACATCTGTCATAGGGAGGATGTTAGAAGATACTAAAGACATTGTAACTTAAGTATTTAAGGCAATTAAGCAGAAACAATATTGGTGTTGTGAAGGGTAACTTGCTGGAGTTCTTTGAAGTAACATGCTGAGGATAAAGGGGAATATACTGGTGGATGTACTTTATTTAGATTTCCAGAAGGCATTTAGTAAGAAGTTACATATCAAAAATCGTGAAAAATAGAAGGGTCATAGTGTAGCATGTGTTGGCTTGTATACCAAAATACAGAGGAGGCATAAACTGACCATGGTCTGGTTGGCAAACTATAGCAAGTAGTCTGCCATTGGGATGAGTGATAGGACCTCACCTGTTTATCCAATCATTCATATACATAAAGGGACCAAAGCAATAATTCCTAAGTTTAATGAAGGGACAAAAATAGCTAGGAAGTGAACTTGACAAACAGATGATAGGCTACAAAAGAATATAGATTTCAAGTGAATGGGCAACGATTTGACAGACGTTGCATAATACGGGGAAAAGTGGAAATTCTCCATTTTAGAATGCAAAGTCAACAATTTTGATCTGCTTTTAGATATTTAAAATGGGGAGAGATTGCAAAACTCATACACAAAGGACTCTTGTGTGAGAATCGCAAAAGGCAAGTATACAGGTACAGCAAGTAATTAGTATTCTATTAGATTTCCTATAATTTAATTTGACTGAAATTGAATACAAAAGTAGAGGTTTATACTTTAGTTATAGGGAACATAGAGGATACCACATCTGGAGTACTGCTTAAATATTGGTCTGCTTATTTAAGCATGAATGCAAATACATTAGAGGCAGTTCAGAGAAGTTTTACTAGGCTACTAATCAGAATGAGTGGGTTGATTGGAGGAGAGGTTGGACAGGCTAGGCTTGTATCCCCTAGAATGCAGAAGAACAAAAGGCAACTTGGTTGAAACATAAAAAGATCCTGAAGGGTTTTGTCAAGTGGATGTGGAGGAGAGGATACTTCTTCTGTGCAAAGGGCCACTGTTTGAAGATTAAAAAAGGGAGTTGCCCACTTGATGCAGCTGAAGGTGAAAGTTACGGAATACAAATTAAATATACCAGAAATTCTTGGAAGTTATGGATAATCCCCAGCAGTAAGTAATACACTTAGAAATGTATCTATCTATAATGAACCCAATAGCTTACTGGTACTGTTTGAAATAGTTAGCTTTAAGTTAACGAAAGAAAATCCCAACTTTTAGCAATCAAATATTTGCATTAATTAGCCTATGCATCCATCTTATTTAATTTAGTATGGTCATAAGAAACTGGTACATAAACATGCTGATGAATATTACCTGTTCTGAAGAGACTGGTTAATTTTCTCAAATTCTTTATGTATTTGCTTTCTAATTCCATTACGATCCTTATCAATTGAAAAGCTGATACCTTCCAGCCGCTGTGTAAAAAATTAACACGGTGCGACAGATAATATAAGTAGTGCAGTTGACCAGTCTTACTGTGAAAAGCAATAAGTACAAATATGGCAGGGAGAGATGGCCAAGTCTGAAAAGTTAGTATTTAGATTCTAGTAAGCCAAACTATGATAAATATGGATGAAATTATGCAGGTTATTTAGAACATTTTTGGATCTAATGTGATCTCACATTAGATCCAGATAGGCAACGTAGCCACAGAACAAACACAAGTGCAACAGATTTAGAAATGGGCATTTTCAGAGCACCTGTAACTTTATCACAAAAACATGTTCAAAGAAAATGTTCATGAAAATTGAATTTTTAGAATGACAAACAAATATGGTTGAGGCAGATGTTATCAATATTATTTTACCCATTATTTTATCAGAAATTAAAGCTTCTAAACCTTCAATGTCAGGGTGTTAAACCAACAGCAGCAAGAGTACCCCACTGAAAGGCCCCAAGAAAGGTTGAAGACAGATTTTCCCCATCCTTCTGCCACGTAAAAGACTGATTCCTAACAGTAGTAATGTTAACAATCAATTGTTTTAAAACTCAATTTGACTGTGTCTGTGTCTACATCAAGTTTGCCCGAGTGTCAAACCAGTTTCTCCTTGAATGGAAGTGGTATAGTTTGTTAGATTTATTCTACTCATTCTGCTTGCAAATATATTGTAGAGTAGGTTACTGTTCAAAACTATAATTTTATTGGCTTTGTAGCAAGATCTGTTTATTTCTGACACCCAAGGTTAATTACTCAAAATATTATTTTTCATCTTAGATTTGTTCCAAGAATACAATTCAATAATTATTTCAGTAATCCTCAATGGTCTCAGAGAAGGCCACAGATTCAAGCTAACAACAACTTTCTGACCAACTCCAAAACAATGACCATTTAGTTACTGCATACAACCATGTACTACTGACCTACTGCAACCCTCAGGACAATTGTAGATTTGAAAAACAGCTTGAGCTTCCATATACAAACAGATATGTTCAGAGCAGGGTTAGTAACTTGGCTGAGGCCAAGTCAGATTTTGGCTTCAACTCCACATTTCCACCAACCCCCCAATAACTATTGGCTCCCTTACTAATCATGGATCTACCCACCTCTAACTTTAAAACTGACAAGGACACTGCCCCCACTGTACTCCTGGGAAGAGAGAGCTGGGCTAACTGACCTGTTAAAAAACAGGAACTTATCTCTCCTTTCTTGAGCAGGACTATCACACTAGTTTTCCAATCTGCTGGAATTTCCCTGGAACCAATGACTACTGGAATAATTTACCAATACTTCCAATATCTCAACTACCAATTCCTTTAATACCTTTGGATGTAGGCCACTGTGCCCTGGTGACTGGTCTGTACCATTAGTTTGTCAAATACTTTCTCAGTCTCTGTCATGACAGTCACAAGACCTTTCCACCCTTAGCATCTTATTGGATAGAGACGTATAAAGAAAATAGGGCCGAATGGCCTTTTCAAGGTCCTTTCAGCTTGCTCTGCCATTCAATATGATCAATAAATTTGTGTTACCTACCTGCTGTCAAGGCCAGGAACATGTCTTCTGGGATGGAGAGGAACTTTGAGTGGGAGGTGAAAGAGAAAGTTCCACATGTATATTACTCTCTAGGTGAAGAAATTTCTCAACTCAGTCATAACTGGCCTACAACCAGTTTTTAAAAGACTGGTTCTGGAGATGTCCTTAGGGATGCTTATAGTGTCCTCCACTACGATGACTGATACAAAATACAGTTTAAAATAATCTGCATTTCTGAAGAAGGGTCCAGACCCGAAACGTCAGCTTTCCTGCTCCTCCGATGCTGCCTGGCCTGCTGTGTTCATCCAGCTCTACACCTTGTTATCTTGCTATTTCCCTGTTCCCAGTTATCAGTTCTCCAGTCACATCCTCCAAGGATCTACATTCTTTTTAGCTCCTCTCATTTTACATAACTATGAAAGTTATTGCTGGTTGTTATTTTTCTTGCCAATTTACCTTCATATAGGAATTCATTCCTAGATTTTTTTTTTGGCCTCTACTGCCGGTTTTTAAAAAGTTCCGAATCCTCTGGCCTACCAATGTTGTCGCCACTTTGTACACCTTGGTTTTGATTAGATATTCTCCTTGACCACCTATGTTCACTATGGGTGATTCATCTTTCTCAGAGTCCTCCTTCTTGACAGGAATAAGTTTCACCAAGTGTAACAAAGCATCTGCTTAAATGTTCATTTACTGACCTTCCCTTCAGTCTATTTTCTCTGCCCGTTTTGGACAACTCGTGATTCATAATTCAACGATTGTCCTTATTTAAATTGAGAACATTGATGCGAGATCAGAGTTGCTCTCCCTCAAATTGAATTCTAAACTGTTATTGTTACCCTCTGCTGGATCCTTAACTACAGGATCTCTTATTAATCCCACTTCATTGCACATTACTAGATTGAAATAGTCTGTACCCAATAGGTTCTGCATCTAAGACATCATTCCTCATGCACTCTACAAAATCATCTTCCATCTTGCCCAGCCTATTTGTCCAGTCAATAGGAAAATCATCCATTACAACTGCAATGCCTTTCTTATATACAGCCATTATTTCCTGGCTAATACTTTGTCCTATTGTGACACATCTTTCCAAGAGCTCACATGACTCCTACCCACAATATCTTTCCCTTGCTATTCCTCACTTCCACCCAAACTAGTTCCATATGATCGATTGCACCTACATCACTACCAAACAGGTACCTTCCTCTTAACACTACTCCACCTCTTTTTCCTTTTAGTCTATTTTTACGAGAATGGCGAATACACAAATATTGGGTCCCTAATCCTGGTCCCACTCAGACCACATCTCTGTAATAGCTATCAAGTAACATTTATTTCGACTGCCGCTGTCAACTCACCTAACTAGTTACAGATGCCATGCATTCAGATAAACAGCTTTAAGCTTAACTTTTTATGCCATTACCAATCAATCACTCTGGTTTTAATTTCTGCTCCACTCTTCTGTTTATATTTTCTGCCTCTTCCTGTCACACTTTATTACCCACCTCTACTCCAGTTTCTTTGATTTTCCTGAACGTCCCTTCATGTGAGACCCCCCTCACCCCCAACCAACCCACCACCAACTAATTAGATTAAAGCCTTATAACTATGATTGTAGATATCAGGAGACTAGTCACACCACAACTCAAATGAACTCACCCCAGAAGAGATCACTTTTTCCCCCCAGAACCTCAGGCTTTGGAAGCCATTTCTCCCACACCAATCTTTCAGCCACATATTTACTTCTATCATCTTACTGACCTTATGCCAATTTGCACCTGGCTCAGGTAGTAATTCTGAGATTAATACTTTTGTAGCTTGGCTTTTCAATTTATCCTCAAGCTTGTCAATTTGAGCAGAAATCCTTTCCTAGTCCCTCCTCTATCATTAGTACATAAATGGACCACAACAGCTGGATTCTTCCCCTCCCACTCAAAGTTCCTCACCAACCCATAAGTGTCCTTAGCCATGATGCAGGTAGGCAACAGACTTTAGAGATTAGTAACTCTTTCCCCTAACTATTTGATCCCCTACGTTTCACATTTTACCCCCCTTCCCCCCTCCAACAAACTTGAATATCACTCTCTACAGCCACCAGTGGTCAGTTAATCATCATCTCTGCAGTCTGTACCCTCATCCACACAGAGCAAAAACCTTGTATGAAATGGACACAGGCATTTGCAGAGGCTCCTGCAAAGCTAGCTTCTGGATCCCAATACCTGCCTCACTCGCAGTCACATCCTCTTGTCCCTGAACACAGATTAATTACATCAAAATTGGTCCAAGAAACATGACTGTCTCTTGAAACAGTGTCCAGGTAACTCCACTCCTCTCGGATGTCTTTGTGTCCACATTTCAGACTCCAGCTCATCAACTTGAGCTGAAGACTAAATAAAAAAGTACAATTGTTGGGAAGCTGAAATAAAAGCAGGCATAACAATAAAACACAACTGTTTCTATAAAAAGAAAAATTGCAAAACTGAATGTGGACACTCCTTCAGGAATGATCGATGTTTAGAAACTACTGGAATAAAATTCTCTAACTTGTTGGCAACTGGATGTTTAACTACTTATGACAATAAATTATCTATAACTCTAAATATTCTGCACTATGACTCTATAGACATACAGCACAGAAACAGATCCTTCGGTCCAACCCATCCACGCTGACCAGGTATCCTAAATTAATCTAGTCCCATTTGCAGCAGTTGGTCCATATCCCTCTAAACCTTTCCTATCTAGATGCCTTTTAAATGTTATAATTGTACTGGTCTCCACCACTTCCTCTGGCAGCTCATTCCATATACACATCACCTTCTTCCTGAAAATGTTGCCCCTTCGGTCCCTTTTAAAGTCTTTCCCCTCTCACCTTAGAGACATTTGCCCTTTAGTTTTGGAGTCCCACGTCCTGGGGAAAGACCTTGGCTATTCACCCCACCATCCAGGCCCCTTGTGATTTTATAAGCTTCTACAAGGTCACCTATCAGCCTCCGACACTCCACAGAAAATATCCCCAGCCTATTCAGCCTTTCCCTGTAGCTCAAACTCTCCAGCCTTGGCAACAACCTTGTAAATCTTTTCCAAGTCCTTTCAAGTTTCACAACATCTTTCCTATCACAGGGGGACCAGAATTGAACAGTGTTCCATAAGTGGCCTGATAAATGTCTGAAACAGCTGCAACATGACCACCTAACTCCCATACTCAATGCACTAACTAATAAAGGCAAACATATCAAACGCTTTCTTCACCACCCAGTCTTCCTGTGACTTCACTTAAGGAATGTTTTTAAATTTAAAGTATGCACAAACATGGCAAAGTATTGATACCATTTTTCCCTGAAACAGACATTTATACAATTTAGAACTATGCACGAGAATATGTTCTGTTTGAAAGGACTTACCTGAAGCAAGTTAGTAAATCTGGCCCGTTCATACAACACTTCATAAGAGCCATTATCTTCCTGAGGGGAAAAAGGAGAATTTAATTACTTTTATGTAGTCACTCTTCCAATAAAATTAGGAACACAACACATTCAGGTTTTCAATCCTGGGGACAATAAACAAACATTCTCATATTTGCAAGTCAAATTAGTAATGCTGAAATAAACAAATCAATATTGATGTTTGCTTATACTGGATTGGGTTTTAACAAGGTAGATAATTACTTGCCACTTATCAGTCAAAAACCTGGATATCGTCCAGGTCTTTGTGCACTTGGACACAGGAGTCACATAGTGCTGAGCACTGTGCAACCATCAGTGAACAACACCACTTGATAGTGAGAATGGAAGCAAGGTATGATTAAAGCAGATGGAGAGTTGGTGTAGGACACCACCCTGAAGGAGTCCTGTACTGATGCCTGGAACTGAGAATACAGACTTCCAACAATCTCAACCATATTCCTTCACATCAGGTACAACTCCAAGGAGAGCTTTGCCCCCAGTTCCTATGGACTTCAGTTTTGCTAAAGCTCCTTGATGCCACTCAGTCAAATGCACAAACAAAAACTGAAATTGCTGGTAGGTTTCAGCAGGTCTGGCAGCATCAGTGGAGAGAAAGCAGAATTAACATTCCAGGTCCAGCAACCCTTCTTCAGAACTGATGGACACCAGGAAAAGGATGGCTTTTGCATTAAAAAGGTAGGGTGGGGGAAATGAGTAAACGATAGGTAGACAGCACAAAGAGAGAGAAAAACACAGCAGTTGTTAAAGGTCAGACTGGGGGAATGAATAGCTGCTAATGGGGACAATTAGTGGTTGACAATGGGTTGTGTGGGGCAGCAGCCCATGTAATTCAGTACAGACCCAGCTCTGAAGAAGAGTCACTTCGATTCTAAACATTAGCTTGCTCTCTATATAGACACTGCCTGACCTGCTGTGACTTCCAGCATTTGTTGCTTTCAACAATGATGAATCTGTTGTGTGGGGGTGGGGGAGAAAAAAAGAACGGGGAAAGAGATGGTCAAGCTCTAAAATTGATTAAGTCGATATCAGGTCCAGAAGGCTGCAAGGTTCCTAAGGAAAATGAGGTGCTGTTCTTCCAGCTGGATTGAACTGAGCTTCACTGGAGCACTGTGCATAGAACACAAGAGCAGTACAGCACAGTACAAGCCCTTCGGCCCACGACGTTGTGCCGGCCTATTATCCTACTAAGATCAATCTACCCTTCATACCCTACGTTTCACTATCCTCCGTGTGCCTATCCAAGAGTCGCTTAAAAAAGTCTCTGAAGTATCTGACTCCACTACCACTGCTGGCAGCACATTCCACACACCCACCTCTGAGTGAAGAGCCTACCTCTGACATCTCCCCTATACCTTCCTCCAATCACTTTAAAATTATGTCCCCTTGTAATAGTCATTTCCGCCTTCTATGGCTCTCATCTATGCCTCTCATCATCTTGTAAACCTCTATCAAGGCACCTCTCATCCTTCTTCGCTCCAATGAAAAAAAGCCCTAGCTTCCTCAAAGCCTGCCCTCCAGTCCAGGCAGCATCCTGGTAAATCTCCTCTGCACCCTCTCTAAAGCTTCCACATCTTTCCTATGAGGTGACCAGAACAAAACACAATATTCCAAGTGTGGTCTAACCAGGGTTCTATAGACCTGCACCATAATCTCACGGCTCTTAAACTCAATTCCCCTGCCAATGAAAGCCAACACACCATAAGCCTTCTTTACAACCCTATCAACCTGGGTAGCAACTTGGGATGATCTATGGACATGGACCCCAAGATCCCTCTGTTTCTCCACACTGCCGAGAATCCTGCCATTAACCCTGTATTCTGCATTCAAATTCGACCTTCCAAAATGAATGTAGTAAGCCGGAGACAGATGTTGGCCGGAGAACAAGATGGTGTGTGGCAGTGGCAAACAGCTCGAAGCTCAGTGTCCTTTTTTTGCGGACCCTGTCAACCACGCTGGTGAGGAATCCTCAGTTGAGGAAGACAGGGGACATTTCAGATGCCCCCTTATTGAAGTTGTAATCATCAGAACAGACGCAACGGAGATTGAGGAACTGGAAGAATGAAATGGAATCTTTACAGGAAGCAGGGTGCGAGGAGTATAGTTAGGGTAACCAAGGGAGTCAGTGGGTTTGTAGTGGATATTGGTGGCCAGCCTATCCACAGGAATGGAAACAGATGTCAAGAAAGAAAAGGACTTCACTCAATCTAGTCTACTGTATTTGCTGCTCACAATGTGGTCTCCTCTACAATGGAGAAACAAAGGGCACACTGGTTGACTGCCTCACAGAACACTCACATTCTGTCCAAAATTTAAGAACCACTTTCAGTTGCTTGCCATTTCAACAGAACCACTAATTGTCCCTATTAGCAGCTATTCGTTCCTCAAACTGACTTTTACCCACTCCTTTATCTGTCCAATTGTTTGTTTTTCCTTACTGTTTGGGCTCCCCCCTCATCTTCTGTATTAAAGCAGTCCTTTCCCTAGCTATCATCAGCTCTCAAGAGTCACCGGACCAAAATGTTAACTCTACTTTCTCTCCATAGATGCTGCCAAACCTGCTGAGACTTCCCAGCAATTTGTTTCAGATTTCCAGCATCTGCAGTTCTTTCATTCAGTTTTCATCAAATGCAGTCTGGATGTCAAGAGTAGTCATTCTCACCTCACCTCTGGAATTCAGCTCTTTTGCTGATGTCTGAACTAAGGATGTAAAAATGTCAGGAATTGAGTGGCCTTCGCAGAACCCAAATTGAGCACCAGGGAGCAGGTTATTGCTAAACAAGTGCTGGTTGATAGCTGTTGATGGCAAAGTCATCAAGTCAGAGATATACAGACAAAAACAGACCCATAAGACATAGGAGCAGAAATTAGGCCATTCAGCCCATCGATTCTGCTCTGCCATTCAATCACGGCTGATCAGTTTCTCAACCCCATTTTCCCACTTTCTCCCCATAACCTGAGGTTCTTAATTGTCAGGGGAATCAGTCTTAAATATACTCAATGACCTGGCCTCCACAGCCTTCTGTTGCAATGAATTCCATAGATTCACCACTCTCCGGCTGAAGGAGTTTCTCCTTAACCACACCACAAACTCATTTACCTTATTTCGTATAGTGCGGGCATTCAAATGCAACATCTTCAGTCCTGTATTGACTGTCCCTCTTCTCATTGTTATTTGTTAATCCAGTGTTGCTTGAAGTTTGATTCCTGACCCCTTCCAAACACTGTCCTATTGTGTCTGCTGGAGACTTAAATAATCTCTCGAGTTCTCCTTTTTCATGTTTTTCCATACAGTTGAATCCACCCCCACAGATATTAACCTGCTGCTTTGTTTCCCATTGGCCAATGTACTGAGTTTTACCCTTCCCTGCACGCCCCAGCCACACTTTCTAGTTTAAAGAACTGTTGACCACCCTATTTACCCTTTTTGCTGGTTGTGTTTCTGTAGTGTAGTGGTTATCATGTTCGCTTTACACGCGATAGGTCCCCGGTTTGAAGCTGGGCAGAAACAGTGGTGCTCCTTTGTTGAAGCGATAGGTTTTGGGGCGGCACGGTGGCTCAGTGGTTAGCACTGCTGCCTCACAGCGCCAGGGACCTGGGTTCGATTCCAGCCTCAGGCGACTGTCTGTGTGGACTTTGTACATTCTGCGTGGGTTTCCTCCGGGTGCTCTGGTTTCCTCCCACATTCCAAAGATGTGCCGGCTAGGTAGATTGGCCAAGCTAAATTGACCATAGTGTTCAGGGATGTGTAAGTTAGGCAGATGGGTCTGGGCGTGATGCTCTGATGGTCAGCGTGGACTTGTTGGGCCGAAGGGCCTGTTTCCACACCGTATGGATTCTACTCCATTCTATTCTATTGGTCCCAGCTCAGTTCAGTTGGAGGCCATTCCCAACAGTACAGATCCCTCCTGTTCCAATACGGAGGCCAGTGTCCCATGAAAACGAACCCCTCTTTCCCACACTACTCTTTAGGCCACGTGTTTACTTCCTATATTCTCACATCCCTATGCAAATTTGCACATGGCTCAGGTAGTAATCTGGACATTATAACCCGAGGACCTGTTCTTTACATTTAGTTCCTAATCCCTAAACCGGTCCTCTTTCCTTGTCTTGCTTATGTTGCTTGCCCTCAGCCTGGCACTGGGCAGGCAACAAATGCAGGACTCTCTATCCTGCTTACAAAGGATGCGATTTATCTATTCTCCTAATTTATAGAATCCCCTAAAACTACCACCTGACTTTTTGCTCCCCTCCACATTGAATGGCCTCCTGTACCACGTTGCCACGGTCAGCTGGCTCATCCTCCTGACAGCCCCGCTCCCGATCGACACAGGAAGCAAGTACCTCGTACCTGTTGGACAAGGTCAAGAGCGGAGGCTTCTCTGTTCCTGAATGCAGGATCCCTCTACCTGCCTCACTTGCAGTCACACCGTGCCGCTCCTGGCCACTGACCAAAATCTGTGGTACTTAATCTACAGTTGTGACTGCCTCCT